GCATTCATCCTGTATTTGTTTTGTGAAATCTATGTATTTTAGTCTCAAACTACGTATTGTGGTCTTTCTTTTATGTATTGCGCTATGAAGTTTTGTGAAAAATTTGTACGTGATGGAGAAAAATGGATATCATTTTCGGATTCAGCGTACAGGAATTGCAGTAGTAAATGTAAACATTTCAAGAAAATAAAATAATCACAGGCCTGTGTTATTAGTCTATTATTTCAGATATCACACAGTTGCATTATTTACAATACTCAAGAGAGACATACATTTATCATATTGATCTTATATCTCTTTCTGAAATCTTGGTAATAGGAGCTGGCTTCAATACACTTAGTCTCTGAGGTCTTTTTTTTTTAATTGGAAAAACTGAAATATTCTTTCTTCTGATTTAATGATTGTAAAAGGTTATAAGATGCCTTTTTAAAGATTTTTGTTTGTTTGTTTTGTAGTTGAGTACAAGAGCTACACAGAGATGTGCCAACCACGCGTATCGAAACCCGGTTTTTAGGGTAACAAGTCCGCAGACTTTCCACTGTGCCACCAAGGAGTGTGTTTTTTTTTTCAAGAAAATAAACATTTAAGATAATAATCCTATATGATAACTGAGAGAATTTTCTTCTTTTGTTTTATTTGATTTTGTAACAAAATCATATTGTTTGTTTACAGCTAAAAAGTGCGCACAAAGTATCAGTTTCGAGATTCTCAGATTACCAAGCCAATTCGCTAACCATTTGTCTTTGCTCGGTTTCTTAGCTGGCATCGTGATCAAGATGAAATTAAGTTTTTTCAGTCACATCGTGTATACTGAAAAAGTTAAGTTAAACAACTTAAAGTCTGCTTGTAATTAAGCACAAAGCTACACAATGGGCTATTTGTGCTTTGCCCACCACGGGTATCGAAACCCGCATTCTAGCGTTGTAAGTCCGCAGACATACCGCTGTGCCACTAGGGGGCGTAAACAACTAAGTAAAAAAAAAGTTTATAAAAGTCTTAACTTGTTTCGACACATTCGTACCCCCTTTTCAGCCTCACGTTGTCTCCTACTAGTTGTTCAATCTACTATGGGTTTGTTTGTTTTCCCACTAACTTATCAGGCCTAGTTCTGTATTTATTTGTATACACTTCGAACTCGGGATGACAGATTGGATAATTTTGGAATATATTTACTGACAGAGTGATGCGGATTTTAACACCATTTTTTATTTTTATCTCCAATAGATTTGCCTGTACAGAAAGTTAATCATACAATAAAGAAAAGTGAAGTCAGTTTCAATTCCAAACTTGAGACTTTTATAAAATTTTTACTTAAAACTTATTAAAACTTAACTATAATACACTCACGGCCCCAAAGTGTATAGCGCGGTTTTTTTTTTTTTCGTTTTGTGTTGTGTGTGTGTGTGTGTGGTTATCGCAAATGGCTCTCGTGTAGCTTTGTGCGAAATTCAACAAACAAGAGCAAAACTACACAATGAGCATTTCTGAGCTTTGTTCACAGCAGGGAATCGAATCACAGATTTTAGCATTGTAGGTTCACAAACTTATTGTTGAATCAACGTGGGACGTAAGGAATTAATCACCTTTATAACATATGATTTTGCTACTTAATAGCACAGCGCTCAAGGGCCTAATAATAATTATATCCGTACATTTAGTGAAATATTGGTAACAGTAATGAAAGTTATCATACCATTGCTATGGCATAACATATTTAATTTAACTTCTTCTGAAACTTCTAATCTTAAATGATTCAGTTTCACGTGTAATAATTTAAAGAAAAAATGATACCATGAATATAATCTCAAATGTTATATACAGATACAATCATTTATTATAAAAACTTAATTACTTCGTTACATATATTTTTGAAATTTTTATCATAAGATGTTGTTACTAAAATAAAAATTATAAAGCATATAATAGCAAAATTACTTTCAAATCACTAGATCAGTAATGGATATAGTTAGAGTAAAATGTGTCGAATTTAAGTTTTTATTTAACAAACTCGATCATCTAACCATTTGAATAAATGTTACTGGATTTATATAAGAAATCATCTATAATTTTCTTTTAATCACAATATGGTTTATTTCTCTTTTAAGAGAAATATTAGGATAAAAACAAACATTTTCCAATATGCTGGGATTAAACAGTTTGCAGTTTCAACATGAAATATATAGAAAATTATTACACGAGTTAATATTATAACATAACAGTTTTCAATGTGAAAACACGTCTAAAATAGTAAAAATTACATTATGTTACTAAGTCGAGTAAAATAAGCAACTTTGTCTAGGGGGACATGATAATTATGAAGCCATTTCCCTCCACGTAATTTTTCAGCCGTAATTTCGTCGCGCCACCAACCGGAAGGTAAATAGACGTCTATATGCTCTCGCCCTTCTTCAACAACAGGAGCAACAATAACTTCATTTCCAACAGAAAATTGTTCATTAGCTATAAACGCATTTAGTTCTTTTGGCTCTAGCCACCATAATGGTCGTAAAGGAGGAATTCCGTTTTCTTCATATTCTTTCAGGCACTGTTCCAGGAGGGGTAATATTTTTTGTTCGCGAATTTTGTACATCATATTAGCGATTTCGATCACTTCTTTGTTGTAATCTCCTGGAAGAAACGAAAACTGTAACACTGGCATGAATGTAGCTAATTGAAGCCATCTGATATACAATTGTCTTTCAGGTTTTGTATCGTTTATGTTTGTTAAAATATCTCCTCCTACTGAACCAGTATTTATAATTGGGTACCCTAGCAACTGTAATGTCAAAACCGTTGGAACAATCGACGCGATTCCTTTAGAAGAATCCCACGTGGACGTTCTGGGTGCAATCTGGACAAATTCATTAATATTTTGAGTTTGAAAACCAACTCCTGTTCCAGCAAAAAGTTGATATTCTTGAGATGCCTTCAGAAATTGAGTTAAGGAACGGTCTGGGTTTATAAACTTATCCTTGTAATTGTATGAACGTGGTAAAAATGAAGAATATCCTCCAACAAAAACAAAACCGTCGACGTTATATTTTATTTTGACTTGCTTAAGGCGTGAAATAAACCATTCTACAGCATTTTGGTTTGCAATTTCAATGGTTGCACACACCGAATCTTGCCAAGTAGAAAGAAGTGGCACATTCCACACGGAATCTGATATGAAATATGATTGTTTTAGTCCGAACTTGAAAACTGGAGATTCCAGACATAAGTAAGGATGAACTGTTAATAATATTTTAAATCCTTTACGGTGTAGTATGTTTATAATTTCATTCGGACTACCAAAAGAATTTGAATGAAAATCAAGGTCTCCGAAATGTCTTTGCCAATTAGAGTGCAGTAGTATGTATCCAGGTTCAAGCCTCTGTTCTGTGATCTGATTAACAAAACTCAATAGAGATTGATTATTTACAAAGTTTTTAAGTTTTGGTTCTGTTGCCCACACGGGAGTCTTATAAATATTGAAGTCATTAGTTATATTAGAAGTCTGTGTACGAAATTTTTTTACTGTATCTAAGTGGGCAAGTATAATGCTATCCTCAGTACAGATTGTGTATTGTAGAAAAGGTAACTTAGTTTTGGTCGTCTCATAAGGGAAGCCATCCAGTTTGGCTTCAAAACATAGTTCCTCATCGCCACTATTATTCATACTGATGTACAGTGGAACATCCTGGTCTACGCGAATTGCAATTCCCTTTGAAGATAACCAGTATCTCTCAAGAATGGCCCCAAAATTGTACTGATATGCATTACCTGTTACAAATGGTTGTAACTGAAGAGTTGTATTAGAAAAAGGAAAAGACGTTTTATTGATTTCCCCCATTCCAAACCAAAAAGCTCCTGACAATGTATAACAGTCTTTTAAAATAGTGTCCCTTGCCAGACTTTTCCAATAGATATTATAACAGCTAAGTCTGTCTTCATGCACATAGTCGATGTGAAGTCGAGCACGATACTTCCATTCTACACAGATGTCTCCTGCGTGTAAAAACTGACAGTCCAACGGAGACAGTTCTGCGGGAATCTTTAAACCTAAATGTCCCGTCAGGTGATTTCGACCGTCGTGATGTAAAATATGAAGATTTCTCTTGAGTTCATGAAACCTAATCTTGTCTCCAATGGCTAATTCCTTAAGGTGTTGCTGGTATAGAAGTGTAGTGAATGTTACCAGCACTATGATGCTGAAGAAAAGTAAAAACAGCACGATTTTGAAGCGAAATTCTGGTGATGTTGTTTTTGTCACAAGAGCCGAAAATTTGATTGCCTATAAGAAGAGTAGCAGGTATTATAAATTTATTAAATATCACACGAACTGCTTTAATTGTTTGTCATATAGCATCACAGTCAATATCGTCTTGAAAAAAGCATATAAAACGTTTTATGAACACCATGATGTCTCGTATATGTATCAGTCAAAATTGTGCATACATGTTTTGAATAAACTGTTGTGCTAATATTGTTTACTGTATACTATAACTACAAGACATTTTAAATGACATGAAAAGTTAATTTTAAGAATTTACCAGTTATTGGAATTAATATAACTCTTAATGTAGTTTTTCTTCTTTTATGTTTAATTAACAGCTTATATATATTGCTTTCTGACGTCATATAATGTATTCACAGGACTTTTTTAAAGTCCCGAGTTTTTAAAAATATTACTTTTAACCAATTTGATGTTATCTCATTCATATATGATTGTTTCCATGGGACATTCAGCACTATATATATGCATACGTTAATAATAATTATACAAATTATGAGGATCAAATTTGAAAACTGTTATTTTCTGTCACTTTGTTGTTTATTTGTTTTAGAGAAAATCCACATTGGGCTATTTGCTGTGTCCATCGCGGGGAATCGAACACTGGATTTTAGCGTTGTAATTCCCGTAACCTTACCACTGTCACACCGGAGGGCAAATTATTTTTTTGCAGCATATCACTGACACGATAATTTATTTTCTTTGTTTGGTTGATTTAGAGCAAAGCCACATTGGGCTACTGTTGTGTCAATCGCAAGGAACCGATCCCCGAATTTTAGCGTTGTAAATCCATAGACTTACTCACTGTCCCTCCTGGGGCATTTCCTGTCATAGTTTAAAGTTAATTGTAAACACCAAAATTAGTTTAAGGATTTTTCGGTTAAAACTAATATGAGATACTTAATCAAGCGACGTGTTTTCTTTGTTCGTTATTTTTATGTTATCGTTTGTTTGTTTGTAATTAAGCACAAAGCTACACAATGTGCTATCTGTGCTCTGCCCACCACGGGTATCGAAACCCGGATTCTAGCGTTGTAACTCCGCAGACATACCGCTGTGCCACTGGGGGGTGAGGGCTTTTATTTTATCATTATTTATGTTTATCCGACCTTAATATATGGATACTTGAAACCGACGGTACTTGGTGAAACTCCATAATTACAGAATTGAGGAAAAACAAAACAATTGTACGTTTCACAAATACATCGGCCCGGCATGGCCAGGTGGTTAAGGCACTCGACTCGCAATCTGTGGGTCGCGGGTTCAAATCCCCGTCACACCAAACATGCTCGCCCTTTCAGCCGTGGGGGCGTTATAATGTGACGGTCAATCCCACTATTCGTTGGTAAAAGAGTAGCCCAAGAGTTGGCGGTGGGTGGTGATGACTAGCTGCCTTCCCTCTAGTCTTACACTGCTAAATTAGGGATGGCTAGCGCAGATAGCCCTCGCGTAGCTTTGCGCGAAATTCAAGAACAAACACAAATACATCATTTACTCAACACCATGATTCCGCCAGTAAAGGCATCATCAGGTACAGATTGAAATGCTTTTAACAGGGTTTATATACATGTTTAAATAAAGAACCGGAAATAACCTTGACATTCACCTAGAGACAAATGGGGTAAGAAGTGTGGAGGGGCTTATGTTGGTTTGGTCGTTTAGACGTTTTCTATATATATATAAACCTTGTTAAAAAAAACATTTCTATCTGTACCCGATGATGCCTGTAATGGAAAAACCATGGTCGTGAGTAAATGACATATTTGTGAAAAGTACAATTGTCTTGTTTTTACTCAGTTCTGCATCCGACCTTAATATTCTGGTCGTTTTGGATTTTCCTTTTTCTATCTTTGTTCTCACATCCTTACCGTTTCTTGAATGCTTTGTTTCAAAGTTGAATTTCTATTTCCGTTCTTGTTTTCTGAGGACTGGTCCCATGTGTCTCCATCCACACTTAGTCGAAAGTCACCCGGAAATTTTCGTTGACTTCTGGGACTTTGGACAGGAGAGTCTACAGGAGTCGAGTTCAGTAAATGACGAGGTGAGCTGTCGTCCGACTTCCAAGACCCAAGGCTTGTCAACGTAGTTTGGTTGGAGTGGAGCCCACTATCACAAGATGCTAGATCGTCCATGCTTATGCTTTCATCTAGTTCCATCTCTAATTCTGAGAGGGTAAAATTTGTATTGCGTTTATACGCATTTTTTAAATATTGAGAGCATGTATAGTAAAAGAAAGACAAAAAACTCCCTGAATGACGAAACCGCAGCTAAAAATTTCATTAAACAACTTCTGTTTAGGAAGTATGTAGGGTATTATTTATTGTTATGCACTAAATTCAGTTATTCTGTGCAACCCCCCCCCCCTTCTCAAAGTAAAAGGACTAAAGACTGACACAGCATCAAGGTATTTCGTTCATTTATATTTCCCTCTCTTGTATTACTTTCTCGCTTTATTTCAACGAACACAATTCTTAGTCTTATGGTACATAACACCTTGATAATGGCGTAGTGATGGTGTCTGGCGTCCGGCGGCAAAATATAATTTGGCGCCACCCTCCATAAAAAAAAATTCCCAACTCCACCCACCCTTTACACTCTTACTTTGTAGCTTCTAACTGATTCATTTGCCCCTTGCACGGCTGCCAGACGTATGGAAGTTATGGTTTATTCTTTAGCTAATTAAGATCTCTGGCTTGTATAACAATACGTTGCACATTATACTCTACATTAATATAAAAATGCACCACAAAGCTCCTGATTGGTACTGTTACAGGACGAATAAATCTGAGATAGAATTATTTGGAAAGATACGACCTCAAATTGTCAGGTGTTCATAAAATTGCTAAATTTTCTATCAACTATAAAATGTCAACGTCTTTTAATCAATCTAACACTGAAAACCAAGGGATTTCCCTAGGCATGATATTTCTGATGATGTACTGATATTTGATATCAAGCATAACAAAAACATTTTAATGAGCCTTATTCTTATGGAAACAGCTAAATTCTGGGTTAACTGTTTGTTAATTTGGTGCCCCCTGAATCCAGCGCCCGGGGGCAAATGCCTCCCCTGCACCCCCTCACTATGCCGCTGCACCTGGACTGGGTGAAGCATGATCTTTAGATCGATAGTTTGTGGGACATAACGTTACAGTAGGACTGGTAAGAATTTCAAACACACATCTCTCTTTTCTGATCCTAAATAAGCTTCCAGTAAATAGAGTGTAAATAGTGTGTCAACCGCATACTTTGGCGCGTTGCACGCTGCTGATGACGAAGCCTTAATACGATGTTATATCACATAAATAAGCTTCCAGTAAATAGAGTGTAAATAGTATGTCAACCGCATACTTTGGCGCGTTGCACGCTGCTGATGACGAAGCCTTAATACGATGTTATATCACAAATACATAGTTCTTGTTCATCATCAAATTTCATTACAAAGAAGTAAAGCAATGATATATGATGGGTTACGTTTTATACAATAACATTTGCAGGCACAGAACTTATAATGCGTGTGATATAACATGAAGGCCATTGCTTCGTCGGAAGATGAGGCGT